GAGGTGTACTTATATATATATATATATAAAATAAAAAAAATATAGCATTACTTACGTCATCATAATCTTAATGTATTGTTTCTGCAATCAACTTGACATAACATGTTTTTCGTTTTTACCAAAGACATTCTCCAAGAGTTTGAGATTAATTTTTTGAAATAGAGATCAATGAAGTGGATATTTTTACATTTCCTAACAACTAAACATTATTTGATACTAATATCGAATAGATATATAAACTAGAATCTAGATACAAAATATCAGACGCGTTACCATTATCATGCATTCAGTTTTTCTCTTTTTTTTTCTATCACTCGTATACCCAGAAAATAGGAAGTAGGTTTTCCATATCAAATAGACATAACATATCTTATTTTAATAATTTATGTATGAATATTTAAAAATAAAATATACGTATGAGAATACACCAAGAGATTGATTTATTGGTAATTTGGTAGGTATAAAAGTGGAGCAGCCATAGAGGAATTCATTCTTCATGACTCGTTAGGAGCTTCTAGCATTGGGTCCACACACTAGAGAACGAGAGAAAAATGTTTTAGTAAAACACAAGTACCAACAAAACCCTTTATTCACCCAAAAAAAAATTAAATATTGACAAATATTACTATAATTTATAGACAAAATCATACATTTGCTGGAAGCAAACATCCAACTCCCCCAACAAAAAAAATAAATAAAAATGACTCTCCTGCATATTTCACGTACTTCGGGCATGAAAGGTAGAAACCATCTAAAGAAACATTTTACCAGAATTGCAAAGAATGAAAAAATGGCATCAATTGCAAGTTAGTGTCATTAGCATCCCGCAGCTCTCAAGAATTTATCAAAGGGGCTTGAAGGTGGTAATCTCAAAGAATGTAGCTGCCCAGAGTCATGAGAACTGTAACGTGCTTGAAATTGCTGCTGAGTCACTAACTTCAAATCACCTTTTGAATATTCCAGTGCCTGCATGATGGGACAGTGCCAATAAACAATAATTGTTTCCAGAAAACAAAACTAAACCCACCTAACGAAAAAATTATTGACTCTGGAAGTAATACATGAGTCCACCAACTACATAAGACATGAACTACGACAGCATGATCCTTCTATCCATCAAATGTTAAAAAATAACAACTACAAAGCCTTATTCATCAATGTTAAAACAAAGAATATTTACAGTACACTTTGACACTCCTAAAATATTCCTTATTATTGGTTGAGATCTCACGTTGACTCTACTAAATAACTTGTGCGTTTAGTGGGGCTTGCATGAGATTTGATCCATAATGAGTGTCTGGCTAGTATTAGTCATAAACAAACATATGTTCATACTAAATCCAAATATTTCATTAACAATTAGCTAGTTATTATATAACAAACTGGGTAATAAAATTTCAAACGAAATAAAGAGCTCATGAAGCCAATTTATCATCGGTTTAAAAGCAGAATATATTACGACAAAATGAGAATATGTAGCCTCTAAGCTTATCGATACAATATAATTCAAGAAAAAAATTCAAAAGAGAAAATTAGGTTAACAATTAGTTCAAACCCCACCTCAAACAGTCAAATACTCAACCATGCTGGTCAATACTCCAAAATATCCAAAACATTATAACCAATTGAATGCCATAATATATGCATTTCTTACTGAAAAACTAAACTGTATAAAAATACTAACCTTAACAGATACAGGGAAACCATCTACTTCATTTTCACTTGAAAGAATTATGGCCTTACACTCCTCCTGTTGATGCTTGAAACTCTGAATGACTGACATCTTCTGTTGTTTGCCTGTTACAAGTGCCTCGCACTGGTTCTTCATTTGGTCATAAGGTAAAGGAGTTGAGGAAGTGGAGACACTTGCAACTTGCCGGGCAGTTTCCAAAACCTATGCATAAAATAATCCCCATAGTATCTTTAAGGGAAGAAGAAATAAAATATCCTCTCCAGTAGATGTGTAAAAAAATTCAAAAATACAATCAATCACGTTTCACTTAGCTAGATGATATAAATAAAAGCACAAATTTTTACCGAATCCAAGAGCTGATTAACACTCAGAACATCAGGATAGTTGGTTGACAGTGATGTTTTGTAATCTGATTGACTTCCACTATGTTCATGTCCAGTCTCTTCATCCATCAAATCATCCGGAGCCATTATCTGGAAAACCAATTACAGAATTTGTCACATGCATCTTTTGATAAGCCACAAATGGAAATGCAACTGTGGAGACTGTTACCTCAACAAAATTTGGGAACTCAATCTGAGCAAGTGGAGAACATGGTCTTGGTGTCTCCATAAATAATGGTGGTCCCGATGGATATGCATCATCAGGGGAAAAACCTTGTAGAAGTTGATTCTTTATGCTAGACAACTCATCCTGGTAAATAAGGAAAAAAAATCATGTCATCTCACATGCTTATACATCACTAACCAGTACACAACTAGGGCCGGCCAAAATTAACTGAATTAAACTAAACTATTAAATAACTGAATTATTTTAAACTAAAAAAACTATAACTATTTAAGATAAAACTGAATTAAACTATTTTTTAGTTCAGTTTTTAAAAACTGAACTTATTAAGTTACAGTTCAATTTACTCTAATTAACTAAAATTATAAAATAAAAGCACGGACACGGGCCACGGCATGGCACGGTTTCAATTTGTAAATGCAGAAATGTGGGTCTTCACATATTGGGTCTTCACATTCCAGCCACAGCCAAGGTGTCTAAATCATAAATCGCAAGCCTATTCACATTCCAGCAAGCCACGGGTCCACGGCACGGGGTTCCTGATTCAGCAGAATCAGCACTCCTTCCTCACTCACAGGCAACCCCGGATTCCTCCTTCCTCACGCACCAAGTCACCAACCACAGATTCTTTCTTCTTAGATAAAAAACAGTTCAGTTCAGTTTTGTGATTTAATTTTCAGTTCAGTTCAGTTTAATTGAACTATTTTTCAGTTTAATACAGTTTTTAACAGTTCAGTTTAGTGCAATTTAATTTGCCCACCCCTATACACAACCCACATACTTGTACACTCCACAGTAACTACTGCTAAACAGTCCACATTCTGTGCATACCTCAAAAGTACTATTTTCTAAATACTTTGATAGTTTCCAGAATAAATGTGTGCACATGCACGACTGGAATACATACAGAGAACGAAAATGTTAAAAAATTGAACCAAAAGCAACCATTATCAAGGATTATCAAGGATTTGATCAGAATCAATTCATTGTCCAACAAGTGCCACATCCTTGCTACTCAGAAGTTCAATGGTGATACAGTAGCAATTATTTATCAATCTAGTAAATACTATGTTCGTATCACATGATAAACTGCATTTAGCACTCATTGGTATTAGCGTCTAGGAAGTTGCACTTGATTAATAGTAGGCTAGGAAATATTCTCCTGTCTCCACTAAGTCTATCAAGAGACTTTATATATGGAATATGGATGATATGAAGAACCTATGTAATACAATACATTCTACTGAATAATAATAAAGCATTTCCATCTATTAATTCTCCAAGCATATCAGAGTATTCTTTGTCAGTCCATGCAAATTCATATTACCTCAGGCAATCTTGTAAATTTAGTCATAAAGTACGATATTACAGTCTCTTTCAACTGCTTGTCATCCAATTCTACAGCTGAAAGAGACTTCACAGCAGCAACCTCATCTTCCTGAGATCCATAAATTTTCTCTGATTCTATACAGACAGCCTGCAGCCGGATATCATCGACCAATTCAAGAAAAGGATCTACCTGTGAATTTAGAACTTTAATCAGTTATTCTAACCATAATTAAAAAAAGGGAAACAATTAATGGAACTCAATTTTAAAAGGAAGATGAAGGCACAAAACAAGGACCAAGTCCAGAGGTTAGGAAAAGAAATTAACTGTTGCTACTGTCAGTGATGCTTTAACTTTTGGAATTAGATCAGGGACATTGCCAGCCCTGGCAGAGAATAGAAGCATGTATGAAGCCAAGGTAAAAAGGGACCTCCTGCGAGATGGTTGTAAACCTCCTTTAACAGGCATGTAAAGAAACATGTCAGAAAATTTTCACTATAGATAATATTATTCTCATTAAGAAATATATAGTAGAACATTTCGAGAACCCTGGAATTTGATTCCATTTGCCTTCCATGGTAAAGAACATTTTTTTTGGTAGAAAAATAGTCATGGAATGATTATTCCAATGCAAGCCTTGATTTCATAAGGACAGGATATGTCATTCCTTCCTGAAGAGTAAAAAATTGCCTGGACGTCTCACATACCTTCTTGGTCCAAAGAGATGCTCCTGAGGGAGAATGCCAGTTGGAAACATCTTACTAAAGCCATGTAACTCGATGCCTGCAGAAACCAATTAACAACTTCAAGAAATTAAGGCAAATAATTGGGACAGGTTGTAATACTTTTATTCTATGTACCTCAAGGGTATTTGTACTCAGTACATAATTTATTCAATGAAATATAGAATAGAATCAATCTAAAAAATAATACATTGATTCTAATAGCTAATTCCTAACTAAATTAGGAAACAAAATATTTATATTCTATAGATGTTAACTCAAATCAATCATCCAATAATACTTGGTTTAGAAGTGATCAAGATTAATTTTAAAAATATATGTAATATGCATTATTTTTTCTTCATTTATGAAAAGATGAAAACTCCTGTCAAATTTTTTACCACTGCCACTAAATTGATTACCAATTTAAACAAGGGTCTTCTTAACAAGTGCCCTAAGGGAACTAGTTTAGTAGCATTAAATACCCTATTAAACGTTTCTAATTACCAACAAAAAAGCAAGTGCTAACTAACATTTTGTATTTCTAATGCTTCCTTTCCTGATAAAAATTTTACTTTTATTCTTTTAAAGGACTCTGGTTAGCTCTTCAAAAATTATAAATGAGTAACATTTAATCAAAATGACCAAAGTGATTTTGGTAGTCTTTACCGTTTATAAGCAATCACAGCACTTGGTATGCACCAAACTCACCTTAGAACGAGTAAATAATAAAGCAATGCTATAGGTGTGCGCCATTGCCTCATAATTTGCAGGACCGTTTTCCACAGATGTTGCCTGAACCCAGATTGAAGAAAGCAAGAGACTCACTTGGTGACTGCTCAGCCTAAGAGAACTTAGATCCTGAAAATTTCAGACACAACATTTGGTTTGGAACTATAGCAAGGAAAAATCCAGGATCTCTATTATTCAAAAAATGAAAAAAGAAACAACCAAACTAACTGAAGCAGGTGCTTAACATAACTGAACTCAACAAGAATCATTAAAATTAAATTATGATGAATGGGAACTGCATATCCTTTAACCCCTCTAACAAATAAACACTCAAATGCAAACAACTAATAATGGTAAGTAAAAAATTTCATACATCTTTTCTATCAGCTAGCTCAGGAGTAAAGCCGTAACTGCCATATGGATGAATTGCATATTTCTTCCCATTGGCACTGGCTATTGCCTTTCCTTCTTCCAGTTTTCCATTCAAGTTTTCAGCTCCAGAAAAAGTTCCATGCTGAGTGGAGAAGCTGACATTCTGTGCCTTCTGAGCAATCTTTGTTTTGTGGTCTAACGAAGGAGAAAACATGGATGGCATAAGCACCATAGAGAAGACACTATGTGCTCCAATTTGTGTTTCACGGTCAGGATGAGCCATGGCCAGGAGCAATTGATGAAACAAGGCATCAGGGAAAGCCTGGATAGGTACAAAAATAACCCAAAAGTTTAGACATTTACTAGATCTGAACATGTAGAAAACCCCATTTCCAATCTAAGAAAGAACACTTGCCTTATTGTGATATGACACATTGGGGATGGAAGTGATTAATTTTGCTGTTTGATAGACAGCAGAAATTGTTGTTCTTGCTATGATGGTAGTAATTGGGATATTCTCCAGTGCCACAGCCATCAAATCAAGAATTGGTCCTACATCTCCAACCTGTTATAGTAGAAGTAGTGTGACTAGAGACACAATCCAAATACTTCTTTTTGAACTTGTTTGTTTACAACATGAAGAAAAAATTCTATTCAGAAAAGACAGTGAAGAAATAGCAGAAATTTAGCTAATCTTCTATAGTCCGAGATTCAGAGGTGGTTTCTCAACATTCTTGCCTGGGGACTAGTAGTAATCAATGATACAAGGAAGTAAAGAAACCTATTCTGTAGGGAGAATAGATAACAAACTGGATCTATAAATTATGATGAATCCAAGAAACTTTATTCAAAAATCAAAGCTGAGGCCTCAGAATGATATCAAGTGTTGCATAATATAAAGTTTGAAAGCCAAACAAAAAAGTGACACATGATGTTAGCACAAATACCTTGCTTGAAAGTTGTAATATACACATTTCTAAGGCAGACTGAAGTTCAGTATTCAACCTATATGCATCATTTCCAATGCTGGATGCTTCAGTTAAATTTTGGAGGCATCTCCTTAAATGCTTAATGAGGTCAGATATTGCACCAACGATTGCAACTGAAGTATGCTGCTTCACATTTTGTGCAAGCTGCGTGGTGGTGTTAATAATATCAATCTGACGGATAGGCTGCTTGGCAACATTCTTGTGATCCAAGTGCTTGACCAAAATGGATAGTAGAAGATGGGAGTTATCTCCTGGTGTTCAAAAAGTGATAATCAATTAATTATATAGAAAATTAGATAAAACTGCATACTTAAAGAAAATTTATAATAGTGAATTTTTTACAAGGCTACCTGATTCTGCTAGAAGGGATTGCAAATAAATCAAAACACAAGAAGCAACTCCCTTTTCAGAAGACCAGTGGTTATCAATATCAAAATTATGAAAAAGTGGTTCAAGGACACGCCGCACAGTTGAAGCTTCCTTTGCCAATTTTGCCATATTATACAAGCAAACCTTTGACCAATAAGCAGGATCTTTAGCAGTATCCCTGTAGAAGTAGTGAACACAATGGCTGTCAGGATCTCATACGATGGCTTTATACTAAAAGGGAAAGGGGAGAGAAGTAATACTGTAAAAGAAAACATACAACTTTGACTCCGTCTCGGTTCTTGTCACATTATTGAGTAAGGAAGGATCCTTCTTAGATAAAGAATGTAGTCGGTCTCCTTCTATGGGAAATCCTTGGGCCAACTGGTTCTGAGATTGTGAATTCAGTTTCTCTACTTTGGCAAGATTGGATTTGGATTGGATATCCAAGTAATTCTCCAAAACCACTGATATAATCTATTCAAAATTTCAAAATCCACCCACCCAACAAATCAAGAAAAAAAAAAAGTTTAGCTTCATGTGTAAACTAACATTTAAATTCAAGACCAGAATTGTGGTTTTAAATAAATATATAGAAACTAAACTTTAATGTTTAATGAAACCCTTTGCTTAATGTCTCTGCCAGAATCTATAGATTGAAGGAATAAGAAGAGTAGGGAAATGATACTAACTTTGTCAAAATCCATTGAAAGATGTGAGTGCTCGCCCATGTACCGCACCTGGTCAAAAGAACATAGGGAGGAAGAACAAAAAGCATCCAGGAAAGGTATATAAGTGATCTTGAAAAGCAACTGAACAAAGGTACTGTGGTAGGAATAAGGTGACCAATAAACAGTTTGAATGATTTACTTATATCTAACAACTTTTTCCAAAAATAAAGCTTCTATCATTCTACAGCTTAAATTACAACAAACAACCATTTTCACTCTTTGATTTTGAAAGCACTCAAACACTTGGGAAACTGTCCCTTAAAAATTAAATTAATTGTCAAGGGAGAAGAACCAAGCCACTTAAGTACTCCATCAAGCATCCCATACTACTTGATGTGGGAGTTAGGCATCCCATGGTACCCAAGTTCCTATCATAGCATCATCCCTAAGAGCTGACGTCTCGGCGGTTGGCACTCTACAATGTTTTGCTCAGCCTTTTTAATTGGCCTCTTTATAGGTAACCCTTTTCAAGACACCAACAATCATCTTTGATAAGCACCCAAACACTTGGGGAACCCTCTCTTAAAATTTAACTGTCAAAGAAGGAGACCCAAGCCACTTAAGTACTCCGATGAGCATCTCATACTACTTGATGGGAGACTTAAGCATCCCATAATACCCAAGTGCCTATCAAAATTTGGTAAATTTCATTTCATTTTTTGGATTACTACAGCTTCATCTTTTAAGAACATTCTACCAAGTCAAAGAAGTTGCAAATCAGTGTGAAGAAGTTCAATATTTAATGACTATTAATCAGAAATAACTACAACTGTTAATGACCATCCTTGTACTCTACATAGGGTTCCTTTCCATAAAGATTATCAAAGTGGGTAGATTCTCGTGCATATTGATCAAAAAGAATAGAAAATTCCTTATAGTTATAGTTATAAAGTTATGGAAATTCATAAGCAAACTGGAAGAATAAATAGACCAGAGAAGGAGAATTACCATATAGGATAAAGCTTGTAGTCCAGCTGAACGTAGATGCAGAGTTTGTTCATTATTTCCCACTTCATGAGCCAATTGACATAGTTTTGGTATAAAACCCTCTAAGTTGAACATGTATGTACCATCTGTCTACTTTTAACTCAAAGGGTCAATATCACTAAACTTTATGGAATTAAAAAAAAAGTGCAAAAAAGGTAAAATGAATTGAGTTTCTCTCCTAAACTAAAATCAACTTATTCACTTCAGCTTTTAGAGAAATTAGATGAGATAGCTACTATAAAAGTTAAGTGCATATGCTAATTTTAGCTTATGAGAGAAGTTCAATTCAATTTTTCTTCATATTTCCTTCTCCTATGAACAAAACTTATGATGTTAAATTTTAATTAGTAAAACTGCTTTAAAGGGGCAGCAAATCTCTCATAACATGCAATTAAGGCAATCCTGCAGTGATTTTGTCACCAACAAATCAAAAAAGTTGAATGACCAAATACCTGGCAATCAATAAATTCTACAAGAGTATTGCAACCTAAGATCTGCATTTCATCTGATCGAGTTTGCTCTAGAAGAGTCTGGATGATCCCTAATAAACTATTGGCAAATAGAGGCCTACAAGATTAAGAAGCATGTTTGAATTTATTACTCAAAATAGTGAAGAGTAGCATCCAACAAGAAAAATAAATAAATGAACCAAAACATTTTTGTGAGATGCTGGTATGTTTGGTTTAAAGGAGAGGAGAGGAGGAATTAGAAATTTTGTTTTTCTGAGAAGAGGGGAGAGGAGCTCTTTTCTTATTTGGTTCACAAGTGGAGGGGAGAGATTTTAAAAACCAATTTATCTTTGTATCCTTATTTTGGACAATTATACTAAAAATGTTTTAAAATCTCTTCCCTCCCCCTCAAATCCCTGCAATATTGGAGGGGAGCTAAAATCAGATGAGGAGGGGTTTTGCTCCCCTCCCCCTCTTAAAAATTGAACAAAACAAGAAAAGTTTATAAAAATCTCTACCCTCCCCTCTTCTCCATTCTCCTTCTAACCAAACACTATGTCAATCACTAGCAAATAGGACTATGGGAGGACAAATTGACACTCTGCACGACCCTGCTTCAAAATACTGAGAAAATTAAATAAAAAAAAAAAAAAAAAAAAAAAGTTCTCCACAAAACCAAGTTTTAAAAAAAGGGTTTTTCATAGTATTACAGACTAAGATTACTCATTTGAAGTACATCGATCATATAAATTACCAACTCCCGTACACGGTACACCCAAGCTTTTACATGAATGAAAACAGGACACCAAGAACTCATAAATGTCCATAAATTTCAAAATGGCTTTTGCAATGTAATAATCTTATGGTGCCTGAAACTTGTAAGATAAATCCTCCCCCAGCACCCCATTGTGTTTCAATGAACTTGGTTAGGATCAAATAACAATTCAATCCAAGGAATATGCACTTAACTTATATGACATAAAACTTACATCTGTCCCTTACATGTCGATAGCAATTTCCTGTATATACACAAGACCACTTTCACTGAACCAAAGCTTTCATTACGTAAATCCTTGTAACATCTTTGCTCCAAGTTATCAGTAATCTGCCAAGACAAAACACCACAAATTTAGGACAGAGATCACAAATCAATACTGAAAATAAAAAAATTCAGCAAGTGACTTAATGGTGTTTGTTTAAATTTAATGAATTCCAAATTAGATATTAGGTGAAAAAGTGCTGAAAACATTCGGTAACAAATTCTTAATTTAAAGTATTAAATCGAAATGATTTCCTTTAGTGTAACCTCATTCAAAATATTAATGACCAAGTTTTCCTTTAATAAATTGTCAAGAATTACAAATCAGTGGTTAAAATATCTTAGTGTTTAAGTTGAAATTATGTAGTTTTAGATATTGAGAGAGGTAAAGGGATAAATGAAAATGAAACAATAAATTGATATTACCTTAGATGTATTACAATGTAATGATATATTTGATATTATTTGATATATTCATAAAACCTATAGTACAAACCCTTATCTATAGTAATCATAATCCTAGCTAATTAGGGAAACAAACCATGATAAGATTAAAAAAAAGTATGGTAATTAATCCTAAGAGAAAAAGAGGAAACAGGGAAACTAATCCTAGAGGATAATCTTAATATATGATAAGATATTTTCATATATTCTAATATCAGTTTTGTGAAACGAACAATTATTAGATGGAAGACAACTGAATTTTCTACAATGATATCATAATCAGATCAAATATATTAGTTTCCTATGAGAATGATTATCCAAAATTCCTCCACCATGTCATAACGTTATTGGTTACATGAAACAACTGGCTTAGAAGAAACAAAAAAGGGAGGAGATTTTTAAGAATAACATTACCTTGGGAATTCTCAATGGATTCTTAGAAGCGTACTCACATAGCTTTCCAATTATCCTATCATTAGGCTCAGCAACCTGAAAAACACAGTAATCATCTTGTGATGTGAATGAAAAGGGGCATCCTCTCTTTGCTAAATTCAAATCCCCTATACTAGTATAGAAACAGGTCTTATGACTTATCATAAAGCCCCCGCCCCCAGTTTTGCCCGCATTTTTCTTCAGAAAACTGAAAATCTTATTATTCAATTCATTGTCATTACAGAATAACAAGCAGACACCAAGAGCAATAGTAATGATACACAAGGTGGTATTACTTACAATAGCAAATGATTGCTAAGTAAAGTTATAATTCTCGGGTCCCCCGAGACTAATAACTAGCAACTACCAAGCAAAGACTAAAACAAAACAAAATAAGCTCAGAATATTCACCTGATTACGCGGGAAGATATCAGCAATCAACTTCTTGTAACGTTTCACCGGTTGCCTTGATCTTGCTCGCAGAGAAGGACAAAACACACAGAGGTTACCACAGACGGGCACAACCCGCCTGGACATAACCCCCATTTTCCTATGAATTCACAAACCCTCCCCCTGAAAAATTCTCAACAACAACAAAATTCACTCCCAAAATTGCCTCAACCCTTCACATTCCACTAATCAGAACTCGAATTTCACACGAACTCACAATCAACAATCACAAACCGAATCAAATTCAACTCGATTAATAGCCCACACAGGGTTTAACGAATTTCAGCAAAAACAAAAGAAAATCGAAGGCTCGAAAATTCAGAACCAAACGAGACATAAACTGAATTCACTTATCAGCAATTCACAGAGAGGAATGCAAGAAACCTACCTATTCGAATTACACAAATTCCACTTCTTCGCAAAATCAAGCGTCTCCGATCGCGATCTAGACTATACTGAAAACAAAATTTTCCAGAGAAAAAAGATTAAGGAAAATAGAAAAACGATCAAAAAATGAAAATCTTGCTATTTACCATAGAAAATAAAATTAAAAAAAAAATACCAGAGAAAATGGCAATGGGGTCAGAGTCAGAGGTGCAACTCTTCCCCGGCCATTAACATTATTTCGGAAAGTAACATTTTAATTCAAAGAAGAAAATGCGTATTAAAACCATGAAGCAATTGTAGCCATTTACCGATATTAATATTAATATTGTACAATTTAATATTATACAAAATTAAAAAAAAAAAAAAAAAAAAAAAAAAAAAAAAAAAAAAAACACGCTAACATAACATAACATAACATCACACACACACAGAGCACATCGTGGAATGTTGATGGGAGGTGAGTAATACAAAGTCGACCACATACACTTCATGATCACATACGATGCTATCAATTTTTCCAAAGAATGAACGTGCGCTATTGGGCTGTCGCCCAGATGGGTCACCGGCTAGTGAGTTTAGAATACTTTTTTATTCTTATTTTAATTTGAATAAAAAAAATATAAAAGATATTCATAGCTTAAATAGGGTGGGTGGCGAGTTGTTAAGGGTGTTAATAAATTGTGCGGGGTAGTGAGGAACAACGCTGCAGGCCCAACGGTTCCTAAAATTATGGGTTTATGCTTTTTTTGATTGGAAAAAAAAAAAAAAGGAAACTCACTCCATTCTTTTCTTTTTCTTTTTTACTTTTTATATTATTATATTATATATTCTCACGCCATATCATTTCTTTCATCTTTTTCCCAACACTTTTTGTTTACTTGCACATGTTTGTCAATACAACAATGTGTCTAAATCTCTAATGTTAGTTCTTGAAAAACAATGGATTTAACTTGTGATAAAAAAACACCATCAACTAATCTAAAGTTATTTTTAATATGATTTTTAAAATAGTTCTTATAGAGGTTAATAATTTTATTAGACATGACACTTTATAATTAAGTGATAATAGATAATAAAATGTGATATTGGCGGGTAGACTTAAAGTGTAATCTGGATTCAATCTCTATTAATATGTATGAAAAATATTTATTAAAAGATGTTAATTTGTTAAGATAACTTAACTCGTGATATAAAAATAATAATAATAAATAAAATATTTCTCTGATTAATATGTTCTAATTCAATTACAAAATAATCATACTAAGACTTAGGATTACTCATACCATCTTCGTTAAAAAAATATGTGTCCGTGTTATTCATTTATATAACAGGATTTACATTCCTTATCAATTTTTTTTATCGATTGAATGTTAACATACATGAAATAACTATTTTTTTTTTACACCAGCGATATTAATTCTTAAAGTTTGTGTTATTAACAAGATAATCTAGATATTGGAAAAGGTTGATTTAGATTAACATGGGATTTGAAGTCAAATTTAAATTAAGAAACTTTTATATTAAATGCATGTTTATAATTAAATTCATTATATAGTTATCTAGAATAGCACAAGAGTTGCATGGACTTACTTTTGCAAGAACGAAGTTTGAAAGTTTATTTATTTTGAGATATCGACCCAATACCTATTCAAAAAAGTAGAAATTAATATATATATATATATATATATATATAACAACACATATATTTAGAAAAATAAGAGCTCTCTATATATATTTTTTTATACATATATATCA